CGAAAAGTTTCTCGAAGCAAGTAAATTAAACCTGCAGCATCTCCTACTTCATTTAGTAGTGGTGCATTAGACGTGTCCAGGAAGATACTTAACTTACAGTTTCATGGATAGATAGGCACTTATTTAATTAAATTTAAAAAAATGAAAAACAAACAAATCAATATCAGTCATTCTACATCAACTTTAGAATCTAGAACAAAAAGTAATAACAAAACAATAAACAATAACAAACAAACCTCCCGGATAACATAAATATAGTCAAATTTCAGAAACCAAAGGATCCAATTAACCTAATCTTTGTACTAAAAGTACGATAAAAGTTTCGTTTTCATTCTCAGAGATATAACCTGTTCATATCAGAGTTAAACCACATTGACTCTATTCACGAACTGGATAAATTGGTTACAATTTAAATTTTCTCAAAAGCCTAGTCTCGTCTAGATTTAAAAGTACAAATCAATTTAGCGAATCTAGTTGCGCAGTTCAAATTTTACAGAAAAACATATTGAAACCGCATACTGATATCTTGATGTTCCTTCTAATTTTTTTCCAACAAAAGTTGTTATCGAAACTAATCTTGTCAAAAAAAAATTAAACCAACCGCGAGGGTCAGATGGGCTATTATTTTAATTTCAAACATTTAAATCACGTGGATGAAATATACCACATATTACTGCAAAAAGGACAGGAAATTATATTGTCTCACCTATGCAGAATATATAGGGGATGTCTAGCGTGGGGGGGGGGGGGGGGGGGCGCTGTGCCCAAACCAGTAGTACATGGAATAAGACTACAATTTTCCAAGCAAGCAAAGTTTTTAGGAGCCTTATTCGACCAAATGCTTACTTGAAAAACGCACAATCAATGGATCACCTTTACGGCACAGGAACGATTTGTGGAAAGTATTGCTTTGTTAAACATCACAAGACTCAAATATTGACTAGAGAAAATTGGAAAAAATGGCCCACCAATAGGGGCGGATATAATCTGGTACACAGGCGGTTCATAAACCAAAGAAGGAATAGGAGCTAGAATTTGTGAACCCAGAATGAAAACAAAAATTTATATTCCAATGGGTAAGTTAGCAGTGTGCCAAGCTAAGATCACGGCAATAGAACATTGATTTGTAATAAGCCAATTGCGATCTATAACGACATTCAATTTGCAATAAAAAATACGCAATTCAGCAAAATAACAGAAAAGTTAGTTCTGGATTGTCATAAGTCATTAAACCAGATAGCAGGTTGACAAAGGTTAACGAAAGCGCAATGGATGAGGAGATAGACCAAGGACTTCCTCAGATGCCCATCGGCCAAATTTCCAACTAAACCACAAAAGAAAGACAGTAAGAATAATGGTAGGTCTATTGACGGGCTACTGCAGGCGCAAGAGACATTAAAGCCTAATGGGGGTGGATGAAAATACTGAAGGCAGATTCTGCCAAGGAGAGGTGGAAACAGCCATGCACATATTATGTCATTGTGAAGGTTTCCATCTGCTAAACGTAACCAAACCAAAAGCAACGAGCTACATCAAGGAACCACTATCGAACCTGGGTAACAAAGTATAGCTATGAAGAGAGTCAAAATGGATCCTCTGGGTCGCAGAGACGGACAGGCAGATTTCTGGCTCCGACAATCTGAATCTGAAACCAAACCAAAATAATCATTACTGCTACCACTGCAAATAATTAAACTAAAGATATATTTATTTATGTATGTAGTTATGTAGCTGTAAACAAGATTTAAATCAAATGCTAACCAGCTAACCAGCTAACCACAACTAACTAACATTCAGTATTTCCCAATGTTGATGCGAATTATAAATAAAGAACTCGTCGTAAAGTTATGTGTACGTTCACGAACGAGAATGGTTGCCCGACAATTCGTTGACACCAAATTTTAGGTAATTTTTTAAAGTGAAAACAACAATTGAACTTAATAAACAACAAAATGCCGCGACACTGGACATTCTACAGGTGACTGACATGGTTTTCTCTTGTTAGATGCAATGGGCCGCGAAAATTTAACAAGCCGGCTTGAAATGCCTTCATTAACCCGAAATTGTTATTTGGCGAAGTAAATCTAATAAACATAAAAAAAATCGTATAAACTTTGTCTTGCGTCTGCAAAACCCAAACCATTCGGAGATTAATTACTTTATCTTCGAGATATTGAGTCTGTATCTCGTTTCGAATGCCTTCGGGTTATTTTAAACGATCACAGTCATATAAAACACCGAATAGTTTCTAAGAGAATTCTAAAACCAGGTGCGTCGCTGGGCGAGCAATAAGGAATTACAGTCGCAGTTTTACAGTTATATTTTAATGGGCAGGAATATAAACGACACGTGACAGCAGGAACATTCCAAACTCTACGTTTCTACGTTTTGCCAATAGCAGTATCAATGAATTGCCCCTGGGAGGGCTTTTTGCGGGGCCAGGTAATAATGAAGCGAACTTTAGTTTTAATAATGATAGTTATAATAATAATCACTTTATTAATAATAAATTTGTTGCAGCTTTTTATGTTTGGTAGTTTTGTATTACAATTCACCGTCGAATATTCCTCAGTCATCCCTCTTCTCGCCCCTTCGATATTAGCTTAAAGGATATCACGTTCTCACCGTTTCATGCGTGTAAGCATGATATTTTTCTTCCCCTTATGGTTTCGAAATGTTTACTATCTCTCAATCCGACACTTCGGGGTACTTGCTGCTTATATGGTCAATCTAGGACAACACTGTAAACAATTTTGTTTATTGAGGTAATTATGAGGGTCTCCGCAGAAGAAAACTGTTTTGATATTTTAATCAAGAATGGAAATACTGTGTGGCTCTTTACTACCTTCAAATTACAAAAAAGTATGGACAAAAAAATGGGGGAAAACTTATTTGTAATTCATGAATTTATGGTGATTTAAGGCGTTTATATGAAGTTCAAGTTTCTAAGCACTTTGTCGACAAAATAGACGAATATTTGTATCATATTTAATGATGACATATATATTTCGATCTGATTTACGCCACGTGACGATGCACTAATGGCCATATTTGTGCAGCGAAGAGTTATTTGGGTATGTATCTGTAAAAATATGTAAATAGTTGAGTTTATTTGCTAGTAATGACTGCTTGCCTAGATACTTTCGAATGAGGGCAGGCACAGGCACACACACTTACTGCATAAGCAGGCAGTAAAGGAAGAATAAAAAAGGAGAAATTATTTGAGAACTTCTAAGGTTACATGGAAATGTTTTAATAAAAACCGTGATGTTTCTCAAATGGGGCTAAATACGATGTTTACTCCTATGTTGAACTATATTTTCGAAATGAAATTTTTGAAATTCTACATTCAACATCCTCGAAAACTACTACTCATACTACTACAGTTGTACGAAACTACCAAAACTACGTGCTGTGTACCAGGCAAAAGAGCAAACTGCAAATATAACTTAGCCAATCAATTCAGTTAAATATTTTATTCCTTTGATTTCTTATGGTACATTTATGAAAGGCTTCTTCAGCGTCAAAACTTAAAACAATATTATAGAAGATTGCTGAGAGCGTACTAAGAAATGGCGAAGTGTATAATGACTTAATAAACTTAAATAAGAAAATTATCAACCAATTGCCAGGCTTAAAAATTTGGAAACCTTCTCGGTTGATTAGTATGATCCCCGAAATCAACAGAGTTTGCCTTATTGATGATATATCGAGACAAACTGTCTCACTATAGTTGATAATTACATTGAAATTTTTTACTTTTCACAAAACTTCTGGATACCTCCTACGTCGGTTTTTGTTGAGTCCAACTTACTAACGTTTCACCAAACATCCTGTTGGCTTCTTCAGAACCTAACTGAAATTGTTTCACTACTTGACTCTCTTTTACATGTTGCAATAAACTGACAGCGGTCAGTAGAACAGTAACTACGCATAAAAGAGACTGGGGCACTTGAAAAACCTAAACAGTGCAGTATTGATAATAGAACTTTATGATTGATTTTTTCCGGATGCTTTTGGATAACCAAACAAAATAAGCGCATTCGCCTATATCACTCTCCCGAAGAGTGTCGTTGGTTATATTTAATAGTGCTGATGGGCAGCAGTTCCCTAACTGCGAGAAGGGAAGTAACTGGTTATAGTATATTACGCAACCAAGTGCGGTAAACAGCATTTGACTCACGAGTTTATTTGACACGAGCGGAGCGAGTTTTTAATAAACGAGTGACTTAAAAAGTTTACCGAACGTGTTGCATACTATACTTTTTCTACAAACGTTAGTTTTTGGGCCCATTTTAGTAAAACGACGCGAATACATTCACTGACATGATTGACATGACAAACTTCAAAATTCAAAGCGTGGAAAATATCTCCGAAAACATCAGATATCTCCCAAATCCGTGCGGTAAAATCCCGGAAATGTCCGAAGTGGCTCGGATTCATGGGAAACGAAACTGACTTGGTAAAGTGACACTTCCCTCATGCTAGATCGGTGGGTAATGAGGTATTTTACAGACGGTAGTAGAAAAATATATAAATGATCTTTAATTTCTTGGTTTATTATTTTTTCAAGAACTTTTATGAATACGGGTACGAACCTTACAGGTAAAGAAGGATTTTAGAAGTTTTCCAAATCTTCTGATTCGATAATGCAGCTACATTCGTGATAATGATAAATAACGAATAATAAATAATTAATATAACATCTTGAAAGGTTCTCCCTAAAGCTACTGCGTTAAATGCTTGTGCTTTTTATGAAAAATTGGAGAAAAATACGTCTTCGTCATTCACGGCGAAAGGTTTCGAAAAGATAAACAAACTCGGGGCACGTAGTCACAATGGTTCCTACCTTCGAGGCGAGTTGATAATAGGCATTTGGCCTGAAGACTTACCGAGGAGAGAGTATACCTGAGACGGCCCAATGTCACCGTGAAAGCGTCTACGGACCTACCTGTTGGAGATTACAACGATCGGGCAAGTGGCACAACGTCTTGGCCGTTTTCTGTGCGGTCTCACCCGACCAGATAGTTACGACTTGACCATCGTACGCGAACACCGTTAAGCGGCTTCTTTTTCGAGCGTCGAATGTAAACGGGTACACCGTACGACTGAGTCCCATACATTTTGAGAAATAACTGCCGATTTTTGGTTCGGTTTGTGCTCCTCGTGAATCAAAACTTGGACAGCCGGCGCTTGTGGAAAAGATCGGCCAGCATTTTTTGTTCGTGCATTTTACTCGCCTGACATCTGTCGCCGGACTAACGGGCGTCCGGTTCGAACCATGGTGGATCGGTCCTAATTGATGATTTTCGGATTTATTTCGCACAAATGAAAGGTAATTTTGTCGCCGACAGTATTTGTTTACGGGCTCGCTTTTGTGAATCGGGTTTTTCACGTGGAGATAAAATTTAGAACACAGCGTCTGGCGAGGAATATGATTCATTGAAATTTTTGATTGGATCGCGGCCTTTAGCGTATAGAAGAATAGAAAATAAAAACGGGTATTTGGAAAAAGACACTTCTACTCAAGACCAAATTTTGAAGTAGGAAGAAAAAAGATTTTCAACTCTAATTGCGCGCACGTATACAGGATGTCCCACTACTATGCAATTCTTTTACCTCTCCATAATGATTGATATATTCGAAAAATTTTAATTACATACATGATCCACTGAAAACATTTATCATTATACAATGTATCTCATAAGTCTCTCACGCCACTTAACTTCCTTATTTTAAATGAAACACCAGATATTTTCGTTTTCTCAGGTTTCCCTACACTTGATCCCAATACTTTCTAAGATATCTTCAATATTTTTTAAATCTTAAACGATCTAACATTGATTCTCATTAATCACCCACCTGTGCGGTAACCGAAATCACAACAATTATCTTTTCCAAATTAATATTGAAAATTTGTTTATTGCTCATATGCTGAAAAATTTGATTCCCCAATCTAAACACAGAATAATTTAACGAGTACCGACTTCAGATTGATGCGATGTGGCCCTCCCCCTTTTAAAGATTCCCAAACGCACATGAAGACCTACCTAGAATATTTTACCGATGAGAAGCTGCGCACAAATAGAAATTATGGCCGATTCTTGACATTTTGCTTGTTTCGTCGCAAATAAATTACGTATAAATGTACACTATCAGCGTATTCTTGAAGGACGTATTTTTTCCACAGCTTTCGGCTTATTTTAATGGAAGCATACAAATCCCGTATCTCGTAGCAACTTAAAAATGGGATCTCAGTTAATAAAATTTATTGAGTAAAGGTCGGCCCCTTTTTGTTAGCTCTCGCTTACTTTTGACTCTCGTACACAAAAAGTTTTGGAATACTCTAAATTTTATTGCAGATTTAGATGCTACATAAAAGTTATAAATAATTTTTGCTATCAGATGTACTTATGTCATATCTGTGCCCGGCGTACTTAAATAAAGTTATCCTTGACAGAGAAAATATCCTACCTAAATAAAACACAACAATATTAACCCTTGAAATAGACCACTAAGTCACCGATGACGCAAATATTCGCTAAATATTAGCCAATTATAAATATTTCCTTGTTTCACCCACAATGAAAGCACCTGTTTATCAATTAACCTAGGTTAGGTAGGAGTAATTGCCTGTTAATACTAAAGAATTCATAGGAGGAGTAGCTTATCTTATTTATTTATTAATTTTTAAACACGAACAATCTTAAGTAATTGTTTTTATTTTAATGTTTTAATAAATAATTACCTGAACTATATTTCACACCTATCATTAATCATTATTATTAGGACAATATCAGAATTTGGGTGGATGATGGATTGCCGCATACGTGCTCACTTATTAATCTTATAAATCGTGTGAACAAATTAGTTTCGCATCCAAACCAAGTAACACATCTACCAATTTGCCTATAGAAACATTTACCTATCATAACATAAGAGTTTTGTTAAATTATACGTCCTTAATAAAGGCCTTCACATTATCTACGTTAATTTGCGACCCGAATAGCTCCTAGGCTTAGACCAAACCTCACATTAATAATTCCTCCCTCATAAAAATGACTCTTCCGTTTTTGGAAATTGTGTGCATTAACCACAGCGAATTTACATCATAATTTCGTCAGAGCAGACCGAACTTTTCTCTCATTGGCATTTTTTCTATGTGCTCCATATCATATGTGCAAATCAGGTGGTCTCGGTAGTCGTAAAAACTAAGTATAGTGTGTGTCAGAGTATCCGGTCTTGGCTTTTAACGCACCCCCCCGCCCCCGTCATAGATAACAGACAAGACAAGAAAAGGTAGATGTCTGATGCTTCCGAGTATATCACTAATTTTTCTGTTATGTCAGCGTATTTTCCATTAGTACTAGCGTACTCAAAAAGACGTAATGTAATATTTAATCTTTATGTTTTTTAAAAGTGCGACTCTAAAGCTTTGTTATAAAATACCGACTGGTCATGTGTTTTATGCCCGGCTTCAGGTTTTTTCAATAATTGCCGTCAATAGTCCAGACGATAATATTTTGGGACAGACCATACTTTTATATGAAAATTTTGAATAATCGCACTATGGTGCTTTCACAGATAAATGGGTTTGGTTTATTGAATGCTTAAAACTACTTGTACCAGTCCCATTGTGTAGAAAAAAGCTTGGCAATAATGAGCAATGTAAAAAGATATAATGCAAGGTCGGACTGTGGAAAGAAAGGAATCATACTGGCAAAAAAGGTTTATAATTAATTTTATAAAATGCTAAAATATATCAACACAAGTTTTAAGATATTAATTATATAATCTACAACACTGACACTTAAAGTGGGAGAAAAAAATTGTGAACGATATTTAATTCTAGTGTGACACTACAATATGAATGATAGGCGCAACACTGGACGTCACAAATATACTTTTTTACACTGAAACTTAAACTTCCAAAAGCTCACGTTTTTATACCTTTATTAAAAATTGAAAGAATTGAATTTCCAACTTTGCATCATTTAACCTTATGTAGTTGAAAACTGTATCCTTTGTCCGTCACTATCACGCTATTCTAAAGAATCTTTGGTGGACGATAATCCTTGAACCATGCTAGCCGACGAATGGGTCTTTAATGTTTTACAGCTAAGCCACAAAGTATTTCGAGCCCAGGCGGAATATAAGATTGTTACCTTTTTCTTTCTGTTGGTGTGGAATAAGTATCAAACCATGTCTTATCAAGGTAAATGTAAATTGCCGACGGACGGCAATAAAAAACCTAATCAGTAGGTATTGTAGAAGCATCAGAGGTGGATTTTTTAGGTGTTTCATTTAATATTACATTATGTTTATTTTGGTATAAGCAACTGGCATTAGTACTCATAGAAAATACGGCGACACTAGATGTATGTCCTAGACAAGCATGACTATCATGGGAATATTGCTAACCACGAGAATTAGAAAAATTTGTAAAATTTAAAGATCAATAACGTGCTGTTGAGAAAACTAAAAAGTTCCCTTTACTTCCGAAGATAGGTTTATTTTTTTATTTTGCCGGAACAATACGTCGGACTTAAACTCTTTCAACGATATCTATTAGAGTTTCCTCAACAGAACGGTATTAACGTTTAAAATTTGCACCGTTTTTCTAATTTCATCTTTGTATCTCTTATGGTTTCTAATATCCCCACGATATACCAACCTTATCTTGGGCACATTGTATTCAAATTATTAATAATTACATAAATTACTACGCTTATATTCAAAAGCTAATCTTGTTTTACTCTCAGAGTCGTCATTGAAATTAATTACTTCTATTTAATTCTTTAAGCAAATGTTAAAACACATTTGATTTTATTTGGTGCCTCAAATCTTCTGTGGGGTTTAATTTAATACTTCCAACAGTTGCCCATTCCTGCAATTGAAAGCAAAATGAGTATAATTCAATTTATTTATTATTTATTAATAAACAAGTCTTTCTTACACACAGACGCTGCTGTCCAGTAAAAGCAAAGCACAAAATGTCACAAAAAAAATACTTAGTGGACTAGTTTAAGTTATTGCTTAAATCAAAATAAGAACTATTTACAGCTTTTTTGCAGTGTAATAATTGGTATACAGTATAAAATGTAAATGTTCTTGTTTTTGTACTTGATAAATGACACTATTATCCGGAATATTTGTTAAAAAATAATTTTAAAAGCAGTTTTCAAAAGTTCGGCACTTGTATTTTCATGATAGTTCGCAGGCAACAGCATACAATCCGAAATCTTTCAGCGTGAAATATGATGTTGCGTTTTCATTTATTTGAAGGTACTTTTGTATGACAGGTTTTACTGGAATCAACCCACTCTTTGGATATTATATTGTGTGTATCGAACCAAGTTTCATTTATGTAAATTATACATCCGTTTTTAGATATATAATGTTTAATTTCCTGAAGGTAATTCAATCTGCAAATTCGCAACCTGTGCCATTCCATTATCACTTACTTTTTGTCTATTTTGCGGTAATCAAATCAAATTATACAAATAACTCTAGCATCCTCCACAGTTTATCCAAAGTAGCAACAAAGGGAATATATTTTTTTTCTTATCAAATTTTCTAAACTTTTGTGCAGACGGGTGAGATTGAAAATCGCTAGATGTTTTTTTTTTCATTCAACAATTCATTGTTAATAATATCCTTTATCCAAGATACATTAAGTAAAGAATTATTAACAGTTTTTACAGTTTGCTTTGATGGAACACTCCGAGCCAAACAAAAACTCGCTAATACGCACATTACCCAAAACAAAACAATTTATCTGCGAAAGTACTATACTCCATAAGTTACGCCGGCTAGGCTCCAAGCTACGTCGTTTCGATAGTAAAATGGCCGTTATTTTTCAGTACGTTACTGACCTACGGAAACTTTTATTATCACGAATCCGATTACGGCTTTATTGAGAAATTATCATTATTTGCATTCCAAGCACGTAGCCATAAAGAAAACGAGTCGTGGTTAAAAATTGTTTTGCGCAACAATCTCGAGTATCTGCAAACCGTTACAAGACTTGCTGGCATTGTTTACTCACAATCGTAGGTACTTGATTAACGTTTACGCATATATACCTATGCCGTCGATGCCAAGGCTATTAAATGGCAGTAAGAAGGCGCGAGCACCTTCTCTTTCAAAAAACGCGCGGTATACGATCGCCGTTAAATAATCCTCACATTAAGACGGTAAAGTCTTGAAAAATGTAATTCAAATAAAGTGCAGGCAGCAAGTATTTATTGAACAGTTGCAAAATACACCATAGTGTAGCAGCAAAATGTTCAATTTACTGCACTGCAATTAACAGCACCAATCAATTTCCAGTTT